GTTGTTTACAGATAACCCTACCCTGCCGGCTGACTGGGAGGAGCGGTTTCTCTTCGTGCGTATAGGCGATTCTCTCCCATTTCCTGATCGGTGGAACGCTTACCCCGTTCGGGATTCTCAGCCCAGAATAGATGCCGTTCTGCGCTCTCAAGCCGAGTCTCTGCGTATGGGAGGAACTCGGAGTCTTCGGGGTTTTATTACCCCTTCAAATATGCTATCTGCTGGGATTGGTAAGTGTAACAGGGTTTTAACCCGATCGTTCTCTTTTTAATTTAGTTTCCTATCTCTTATTCCCTTTGTTGTAGGTGTGATATCCCCTATCCCCGTTCGGCGTTCCATATCTGCCGCTACTCTGACAGCTTCCTCCGGAAAAGGCAAGGAGAAGGTGATTGCCGATCATGCATCTGCTTAGCAAACCCGGAAGAAACGCAGAGGGAACGATGGCAGCATACTGATCCCGGTCGATCATGTGGTCGATTTGACTGGTCCGGATGACAAGCTGAAAAACCCCATCATCCATGTCCAGCCTCAAATTTCGGTTCTCAATAACCCACCGATCGATGATCGGATGTTTGTGGAGTTTTCCAACTTGGGGCCCCGAGCAGAGGGAAGGTACCTGTTCGGCCAGATGCCATCTTCCATGTGGTGCAGTACCTCTCTGAAGGTTCCACCTAGTTTTTCTACTCTGACCCATTGGTCTGACCTGGTCGAGGCAGGTCATCTGGAAACTCTGAAGGTACAGATCATTCAATGAACTTTTTACCTTTGATTCTTTGCTGATTTAGTACATGTTACATGATTTCCTTTTTTACCGTTTGTAGGCCGGAGTATATTATCACCGGGCCTTCCTGGCCGCTGAACAGGAGATGAAGCGTGTTGCCAGTGATCGGGAAGATAGCCAAGTTCTCCTTTCCGCTGCTCGGAAACTGATTGCAGATATGCAAGTTCGTGTTGATCAAGGTGAGAAAGCAAAGGCAGATCTGGCTGAGGTGGAGGAGAGGGCCCAGCGTCGAGATCGGGAGATCAGGGATCTCAGAGCCAAGGTGAGAGTGGCTGAATCCGCTGGGATGCGGTTCGAGAAGTCAAAAGGAGAGAACCTCCCGAGCCTTATACTGCCAATGCTTCCAAGATCACTCAACAAGCTGTGATAGAATTTCAGCGGGGAAAAGGCCTGAATGCGGCTCTGGAGAATACCGCTCGGCAATTTTTGGGACCTCATCTGGGCCCATTCTTGCGTGAGAGCAAAGACCCTATTAAGTCAGGAATAGAGCTTTTGGATAGCACACCCGAAGGGAAATCCTTCTTGGATGTCCTGACAGAAAAAACTGTGAAGCAAAGCCAAGATCTGCTTCTAGACAGGAACCTTGACCTGATCATGGAACGCTTCCCTAAGCCGTTCGATCCTGATGAGTTGGGATTTGATGACCTGTTCGGGAATACGTACGATCGGGTTATGGAAATGAGACAGAAAGCGATCTCCGAGGATGCAGCACAGGCCGGCAGCACTCAACCTCAATCTTCCCCGAACGGCAGTCGTCCCATAGAGTAGTCCATCTTTGTAATCTTATTTTTGTTTTCCTTGTACTCTCCGGCCAATAGTGCTGAAAAATAAAGCTCGATTTCATACACAATCTTATCTCTTTTGTCTTAATGCCTCTCTTTTTCTTTCTTTCTTTCCTTCTTTCCGGACGTTACTCAGATTCGTCCATATTTATAGTTTTGACATCATCTCCCAATAGACCTACAATACCAAAAAATCAACGATCTGTATCCAAACCTCTATTCTAATAAAAAAGAAAAATAACAGCATTTGCGAACCATGCCTAAAACGAATAAGGTGAACGGTAAAATGCATATATTTTTGAAGCACTTTACCTGGGTTGGATCTCTTGGATCCCACCACACACGATTTAGTTATCTTAACCATAACTACAGACCCGAACGCCGCATCACATACCTAAGAATAGCATCATAATCATTATACATCTGTATCAAACTGAATAATCGATTGCAAAGAACTACACAAACAACATTTTCATATGTTTATAATATTTAACATCAATGGGCAAAATAAACATGTGTAGAACCCAACCAAAGGGGACATTAGTAGACTTGCACACTTTAGGTGCCTAAACACATCCTAACTTCCTTACAAAGTATATGATCAGGATGCAGTCAACCAACTGAAATCACAGTCCACAACATACTCCCCTCCAAAATAACGTTTGTTCAGATATATAGTACGTGTAGACCGCCTTAAGACCACCTCCTCCCGCACCCCAGGCGTGGTCACCCCCGAACCCTACCCAACATAACCGTAGAACCATGTTAGATCATGAGCTCCATACAACGGAGACAGATCTCCCGGTGAAAGCAGTGTCTGAATGGGTCCTTGTGGGAGAAAACCTAGCTTATATTCAACATCACATGTATTACTATACCATATATCACAAGGACACACTTCAATCGTACACATGAGGTTCTGGTCACGGAGCGATGAACAGACTCCACACCTCCTTATCAATCCTCCCGCATCCACACCTCCACCCAAATCAAACAAACATTCCTCCGTTCCCATTTTTTGTTTATCTAAACAAACGTTAAGGTTAGAAAATCTCAAAGCAGTTTAGTAACCTATAATATGACACATGTTCCTTTTTTGGTTTGCAATTAAAAAGGGAACATCCATGTTCATTTTTGAGCATGCATTCATTATAACAGATGAACTCATGATTGCTGAAACAGACCCAAACGTTTTTTTTCAGGAGATACCATGAATTAAAATCGGGGTTAGGGTAAACACACTTGCATTACATTAGTTTTACTGCATAATATGCTTGGGTTAGAAATACCAAGGTTCCCTTCCAAAGTTATCTAAACAAATGTTATTTTTTGAAAAATTAAAGTACATTAGACTTCCATCACATAACACCGACATTTTTGAGGTTTACATAGATTAAAAACAGAAACCCTTTATGTAAAATTCTGAATTTTTACTTTTAAACATGAGTAAAGCAAGAACAGTTAACCTCTAATCTCTCACACTGCTGCAGGATCTACACAATGCACAGTCAAGCAGCAGCCAACCCCAGATGAAGGCTTGAGACTATGGATGGAGATTGCCAGAAATTTTTATACGGGTAAAACACTTTCTAAGTATGCACTATATATTAGGCAGATTACTTGTTTTGAGGTGCTGGGCATGTTGATAGATTTGAAAAATACAATGACAAACCAATTTTTTAGGCTAAACACAGTAAAAAACAATCATTTTTCCCACTACCAATAAAGTTAAAAAAAATTGACCGAGAATAAGCCATGGTTTGCTTTTAAAAAATAATTTATGGCGTAAGACCACCTTACTACACAGTTTTGTAAAGATTTGGTCAAGTACAAAACACAGTTCACACCAATGACCTGTCCAAATCACTCCACCAACTTTGAGCCCATCAACTGCACAGTTTTTTAAAAAAGTCTGTAATCTACTTCGTAACTTAAAAAGCTAGTTACAATTTGTATTCCAAGCTGAGCCGAAAGAATTTAAATGCAAACTATTTAAGTTGAACTCAGCAAAATAACATATTTTACAGTCCCATTTTTTATGAAAAAAAATGCTATCTACTAAATTCTGGTCCAGCACATTATAAACGAAGCAAATTATTCAAGGTCAACCCAGCAAAAAAACTGATTTTAAAGTCCCATTTTACAGTCATATTAATACTTAAATCACAGACACACCCGAGATTCTGTAACTGGAAATAATCAAAAATGAAGTCTAATAATGGCATAACCCTTAAAAACATTTTCTCAGAAACTATTGTGTATTAAAATCTTTCGGTAGCCCCAAAAAATCTAACCATATAATTTAGACTGCATAACCAAAATCAGGAAATTAATTAGATAATTATGGTATTATAACAATTAGTATTAGAAGGCATGTCATTATTTTAAATAACAACTGTATACTTGTTAGCAACGTTGTTTTATCAGAAAAACTTCTATTAGAATTTCCAAATTCAAACTAATTGCCCCGCAAAGGCTAGGCATTCACGGGGCGGTAATGTCTGGTCAAATATTTCATAGGTAAATAGCATTTATTTTTGCATAAAACATGTCAAAGCCAAAAGTTTAGGTCAATTTTACATAAATTCTCTTTGTAATTCATATTTGGTCAATATAAATGCATATGCAGCTTATACAATATCTAACACATCATTATTTTTTCCTATAACCTGCAGGAGATTGTTTAATGCTTAGATGGATGAACAAATGCCTAGGATATATTTAGTATAATTTTTATTTGTGATTTCAATATGTAATATATGTAATAATAGACATTGGGGGTAGATTTAGGACATGTCAAGCTCCCGGTCAGATTCCAGGTACGCCACTTACACTTACGCCTGATGTGCACTTTTAAATTCGAGACATTAGAAATAAACTCAAACAGAGTTTATTTTCAATACAATTCACCCTAATTCGTGCCTCAAGTCCTCTGTAAACTCAAAGGGAACTTCCAAACAGAGTTTGATATAACAAACAGATTTTTAAAACCTTACCATGCTTTAACCATGGTTTACATTGCGATACGAAACTTGGGTTTCGTATTTCCCTGCAGACTCTAACCATGTTTTTTCCCCTATACACCTGTAGACTCTCTATTTTTACATGTTTAGATACGATGTTACCCGATTTTTTTTTTGAATAACAAACTGTTGACCTTATCAATACTAAAGCCTATGAAACTATAGAACACCCAAGAAGAGATCAGAACATTCAGTTTCGACTGAATGTTCCAACTGATCCAATGTGCAAGACGGAATGTGTGTACACTCTCATGATTCGGCCAAAATCAAAGTTATACCGCTCAGATAAAAGAACATAGTACCTAAAATATCAAATAAACTAAGACCAGTAGCTAAACCTGAGCTACTGATACACGTCAAGCCTCAGCAACATATTTGGAGCTTATATTAAAAGAATTGATCAAAGCATTGAATCCAAAACAGAGATTAGATAAAAACAATCTAATAGAAAGCATCTTTAAAAAACAAACAGCAGTAGTTGAACCATGCGCTACTGATACATAGGTGGCCGGTGTAGCATTAGAAGAACCAATGGGGCACCACTTTCCCCAAGTACAAAACATCCCAAAAATCAAAAAGTACCCAACACCGAAATAACTCTAGATCACGGCTAGGCTAGGGTGGATGTTTTGTCCTTTACATAGGAAATTGATCTAAAACACTAAGCAGTTATTACTGTCGTAGACAACATATATAACAATCACACTTAACGAACGACACTGTCCCGATTTAACATCTTCACTCCTTTTCAATCTTCACTGCCTTGAGCTTCTTCGATGAGGTTGACGCTGAAAAATCTCCAAATAAGCCACGCTTCAATTTCTCAGTGTCCACATCCATAACCTGCCTCTTTTCCTTTGTCATGAATGGGCTAGACACTGTAGCCTGCGAAGATCCAGCCTGAAATTCCAAAGGCCATCTTAACAATCTGAATGAGAATGTGATTAAATTGCAACTTAGGTTACCAAATCCAGTACCTTTCCAGAACCAGATCACTGTGAAGCCAACCTGCTGAACTCGTCCTCGTCCTAATTAAATAGCACACAACAATTAGGGTTGTCTAGTATAAAACTTGTTCATCAAAAACAGGGAAAAAACGTGAATACCTCCTTTCCAATTATCTTATCTGCGTACAGTGCAAGCACTTTAGAATCAGTGTTCATCTTTAGAACACTGAAAGTCTGGTTTCCCTTGAAATTCCTGCTCTCTCTCCTAAATTGAACTCGAAATAGCGCCTTAATGTCAATAAGAGAATTAATCTCCGCCGGAAAGTAATGTGGTCCAAAGTTTCTCTGCATCAATAGCATGCGTTAGTGTTTCTTAGTAGTGATCGAGAAAGATAAAAAAGGATTAAAACCAACCCGTGCAATCTGATCTTTCAATGAAGCATCAGATTTTCCCAACAAACATGACACCTCCCTGTCCCACAGCAAAAAGGAAGCATGGGTGGTGCCATCCACAACCCTCACGTTCACCTTGTACCTTAATGGTCAAGAAATGTGTTGTTTAGAAAGTGTCATGTACCTGTAAGATGGCATTTAATATAGAAAATTCAACCTTAGAACTGCATCGGTTGAGAAGCAGGAAGCACAACAAAAGTTCTCACCATTAGGTGAAACTTTTCTGTTACACCCAATGCATGAAACGTAGGACCAATCTTTGTGGCTGTCGATGGCGACGATTTCACCATAAACCCAGTGTTTGCCATCCTGTAAATCAACCAATTTAGATCCGGCGATGTTAAGTGTAGGTATTTAACATGGAATTTTAGTTGAAAATCATGCCTCATGCAACTTGCTCAGTCCTTCAATAGTCATTAACTCCTGCTGACCACTTGAAATGTCAGCATCATTCTCTGATTGTATAGTGAAGCTCAATCCCTGAGCTGACCTCTCACCCATCCTCTTTAAAGTTCTTTTTCATTAAAGATTATCAGTCTTTGCATTTTATTTCCAGGATCTCGAAAAATAAATGCCGGTCAACTCCTTACCTAGACCTGAAATCCACAAACTCTTCCTCGTTTCCATTCAGAATCACTTTAGTGGTGTTGAAAATGTTTGAGACATGTACGTGGCCTTGATAAATTTAATACGTTAGGTATTTGAACAAAATTAAGGATCGTATGATTGAAAGACCTTAGAAAAAAACCTTGGTACTTCCTAGCCCGACAACATTGGAGAAGCATAATAATCGGATCCGATGTTGTAAGCTTGTATGTCAACAGCATTTCATCCATCGGTCCCCACAGAGTGCACGCTATGACGTTTCCCCTTTTAAAAAGACATTTTGTTCAAATAAACTTGAATACTTCAGAGATATGCAAAATCATATGTAAGAAATTTTGAACTCTAAGTGTTGACTCGCTCTGTGTCACCCAAAATCAACTCCATAAGCTTCCTTGGCCTTTCATTCTTCAGAATTGTCCTAGGATCCTTGTCATGTACCACTTGTCCTATTATATCTTTATTTAAACAACAAATTAGAATACTATAGACACAACACGTCCTATATATTTTGAAATTAAAAAAAATTGCGCACCAAGCCCTATTTTCTCATCAATAGTGCCCAGAGCTTTCAGCGTTGCAAAAGACACTAGTGAGAAAGTTCTCAACGGGAATGGGAAATCTCTGATCTCAAAAGCAGCAGTTTTGTTAAAGAAACTCAGTCTGTAGGCACTAGTTGTGGTTTTGAAAAACATATAATTCTCCTCCACCATGAAATTTTTCACCGCGAAAACACGACATTCCTTGAAGATACCGATGAACCTGTTGATGTATTGGTCCTGAATGTGCGCGTGCATCTTGGAACCCTGATATTTTTAGAGTTGTTTTATAGTAAACACCCAGCCAACGCATAGGGTAAATCAGGGAAATGCATGTTCTATGACATTTTACTAATTGATCCGTTGACGGAACATTTAAAAGTCGCATGGTAAAATTTTCTCCCCAAAACTTTCATGGCAACACAGACTCGCATTTTAAGTAAAACGGGTTAAGTAATAGGTAATTACTCATGAAAAACATGTTTGCTATGTATGACCTTTAAACGTGTACAGGGGGAACACACTTTTAATATAAGATACACAAACCTCCTCATCATGAAAAACAATCTCCAGGGACTCCGGAAAACAGTCGTGTGCCGGTTCACGATAAACCCGACTCGCTCTTGCTTTGAATGCCCATGTGGTCTTGCTTTGGTCTATCTCAAGAAACAAAGACCACATGCCAACCATCTTATGATTTTTGCTTTTGTTTGGTTTTGCTTCGGGAGAGCTCAAGTGTGGGGATCTTTGCCATATTAATTGCCAATTTATAGGGGGAATCTAGGCTGAAAATTGAAAACCCACACTGTTGACCTCCAAATGAACCAATAGGAGAGCTTCCTCAAAAGAGAGGGAACACTGTTCAGCCACATTTCAAATATTAAATGATAGCAATCTGCGGTTGGCTGAATAAAATCTTTAGAAAATCCAAGCTAGATCACAGCAACACCAAAACATGTAACACGCATCACTCATACTTCAACCTATCCCACTCTCTCAATGTCATGCCATGTCTTTTGTGTGAAACACTGTTCACTTCCCTTTAACTAACCAATGGAAGACCTTCAAAAAAGTGAGTGGGAAATGTATATCTATTCACAACAGTGCTCCAAACCAACATACACAGAAGAGTGATACACATTCAATGAATATTCAGAAATCACAACAGAACCAAACTTCACCCTTGACCAATCCACACACATGCTCTAAATGAAGTTGCTATTTACACGATTTGTATCCCCAAAACCTTGAAAGCGACTCTTTTGAGCGAAAATTCGAGCCCAAAAAACATTTTGCTTTTAGATATTAATAGATTTTTTTGTGTAACCTTGTGAAGCCCTGCCCAAAGTTAATCTTTTCTAACCATAGAGAGTTTGTCTTGTTACTTGAGAGTGAATAAATCGAGCTTCTATTAAGTGTCATATGAGTGAAGTACATATTTGTTTGTTAATTTTGGGGTTAGTTTTTCATTGTAATGTTCAGTGTGTCTGTGTGTGCCCTCTTTGAAAAAAAATCAAAAAAAAAAAGAAAAGAAAAAAAAGAGAAGAAAAATTGAATAAAAAAAAGAAAAAAAAGAGGCACATTAAATTGTTGTTGTAATTTCTTTTGTAAAACCCCAAGCTTTGAACAGTTCACGCATATGCTTTTATTGTTTTGTATGCTCCAAGTTCTTTTAAATTCTTGTGATTATCTGCTCAGTATTAGTACAATCTAACTCTCTCTGTATATTCTTACATCAAACCTTCCTTTCAACTAGCCACACTCATTAATCTCACCACCCACTGAATAAAAGTCCTAATCGATCTAATCGTGTCATTTTTCGAATAAAGCTAATTGGAGAAACTTGTTCTGCATAACCCGAATTAATTTAGATCTATAGGTGTTTGTGTTAAAAGTTTGATTTGAAAATATTATTGATAGGCAATAATACTCAGTTTACTCTCATTGCGTTATTTTGACATTTCAGGGTATAGGACCGTTTAGTGGACATTAGAGGTGGATGTGTGATTTGTTTAGTTATGTTTGTAAATCTTATCAAATTGTGTATATTTTTGTGTTTGTTGTTTGTTTTACTTGAGGACAAGCAAAAGCCTAAGTGTGGGGGATTTGATGTGCTTATATTTTACACACTTTTTAGGCTTAGTTTGTTGAAAATTTTGGTCACTTAAATTGTATATTTGTACATATTTTTATTATTTATCGTGACTTTGTATTTGTGCAGTCCTATGCGTGTATTTTGTATTTTCATGTACTTTTGATATTATTTGGATACATTTAGCATGAAGAAATGAAGAAAATAAAAGTTCAAGTTGGAGAATAACAAAAGTGGAATTTCCTTCAAAGCAAATAAGGAATAAATTGGAGAAAAGTAGCAAAAATTGATAGAGATGGGGCTGGGATTCAAACACGGGTCATTTGATCAAGGAAGGAGATCCTCAACCAGTGAGCTAAATGAACCAAGTTGAACTTTTATGTTGGCAATTTGTATATATTACTTCAGCCCAGCAGTGAAAAATGGAACAAAAGTGGCCGGGTTTTGAACCCGCAACCTCAGAGTCAAAAACAGCTCCCCATAACCACTGTACTGCTATGTATTGTTGGAACATTACTGCACGTTTCTGTACATAAACTCGTCAAGTTCTGTAAATTCCAGCAATGATTAATTAATCACCTTATCATTATAGGCCTTAATCCATCTTCCTCCACACAGAACTTTGAACCAACCTCTCTCTAAACATCCCAGAAACATTTCCTCTCCCTTCTCTCTTCATTTCTCAACCCCAAATCATCAACCAATCTTCAACCACAACTAATCACCTTCTTATCCAAGATTAAGTCAAGATTAGCATCAAAGCTCCAAGGATTGTCATCTACCACAAGTTTGATCTTCCTTATGTCATTAAATCTTGTACTTTAATCATGGATTCATCTATTTCTATGCTTCCAAACATGTATAGCTAAATAAATTTGGGGCTAGAAATTGTTTAATTAATTGTTCTTATCATGTTTTAATTTGTATTGATTTTAATTGTTAAGTTTGTTCTATTTAGATTGTTGTGTCCAGAAAATTAATTATGTTGTGTTTGTGATATATATTATGAGTACTCAATCATAAACATATTGTTTGTTAAATACAAAAATGAACACTTTCTGAATATACCGTTAAACTTCTTTTACCTTGTCCCGGATTGAAGTTTTACGGGAGAATTTAATTATTTAATTATATTATTTACACCACGGGGTTGGGTAAATAATATAGTTAATAATTAAGGTTATCGTTGCGCTTAAACAACTAGTCTCGTTTTGACCATCACTGGGAAATGTTGACTAGTTACTTATTTTAGTTGACTTGTGTTGGGTTCTAAAATATTTATCTATAACTTCTCACAATCTATCTAAGAATAAAATTAGCAATTATGTCTTTCAAACGAGCATTGAACAATTAGTTGTCAATTTCTACCCCTACTTGCTATTGGTTGAACTTTGTGTTGATAAAAATCTCTTCTCTCAATCACTTTTATTTAATTACTTTTTCAAGTAAACAAAAATCAAAAGAAACACATTCCCAACTTTAATCCTTAGTCTGTGCGTAATTATTTTATTTCTCGTTTCTCTGTGGTTCGACACCCTACTTCCTTGAGTAAAAAAATAGTTGTGTGCCCATTATATGCTACACACCAATAAGTCTCCAAAAGATTCTTTTTAAGTGTTTTTATGTCAATGTTGTGATGGATGCCGCTTTGATGTTTTTGCGAACTAGATTTGATCATATGAAAGACTTTCAGCGTACATTTGGCTTCCTATTTAGTTCAAGAACATGAAATCGTTGGTTCATGAAAAATTGAAAGAATGTTGTGGTATACTTGCAGATGCTTTACAAGATGGTGAGAAAGAAGATGTTGATAGTACCATGGCCATTGTGGAAAGAAGTTTTTCAAGGTCGAAGATTCTAAAAAATTATCTGTTATAAAAAATGTCTCAAAAAAGGCCTAATGGATTCGCTATATTAAACATTGAACATAGTGTGTTGGAGAAGCTTGATTATGGAGTTATTGTTGATGACTTTGTTTCACAATGCTCAGCCAGGATTGTATTTAAGTAATTTTTTATATGATTGTTTTGAAAACGTGATTCGAATATGTTTAATTTAACGAATTCAAGTATTTCCTTAATTATAAAGATCTTCAAATATTATTATTTTGCATGTTAATTTAGACAGAAACATGTTTTACAATTTAAAAAATTCCCCTAAGCCTTCAAATATATGGGGCCGCCCCTGCCCATAATTTAGTTCACACTTCTGAGATAGAGCTCCGATCTATATGACCCTTCCGACGAGTACGAATCTCAAAGTTAAAGATGATGAAATTCTGGATTTGATCCCTTTGCAAATTAGGGTTGTGGCAATAGGTTGCCTAACTACGCTAAAGATTTCTGGGCTGACAGGTGTTCTTTTTGGGAAGTATGTAATGGGTCAGCAAAATTGACGGTATTTCTTTAGGTTAATGTTTTTCTTTAATACTGTCTTATATTTTTAAAGTTTGATATTCTAATATATGGACTACTTGATCAATTTAACACTACAAGGATTAAAATCAACACTTTGAAATAATGCTCCGACTATTTAGGTAAAACAAATTTATGACAATAACTGAACCACTTTCATACTTCATAGACTCATACTACCTCCATCCTAGCTTAAGATACCTATTAAAAAATGACACATTTTTTAGACAATAATTAAATGATGCAATTTGAGAAGTAGTTTGGGAGATAAATAATATAACAAAGTGATTGATAATAAATGTAATATTATGGAAATCCTCCCGCTGCTATAGTGCTATTGTAGGGGCTTAACCATTTTTATGCATTGGGTGCCCTTTTTTCTCCAACATTAGATGCGCTTGATCTAGCCTCCCTTAGAACTAGATTCCTAACTTCTAAATAATGAGAGGGGCTCACTTCACATAGTGTCGAGCATTGTTCGTCGCGCTAGTTAGGATCTTTTTACTTGGACTGTTTTCAGTCCCAGACCAGACCAAACTTAAACCGACCAGACCAGACTTGACTTCCGTAGTTTTAAAATACATAGAGACCAACCATTTACCAGACCAGACCAGACCAGACCAGTTCAGACCAGACATGATCAAGCTTAAACAAACAAGACCAATAAATTACTGTCCAAGTAAAAACATCTGTACGCTAATAACTCTAAGAAATATGTTTATCCACCGTTGGTCAGTAATATGGGTTGGCTTGGATTACTACCTCTAACGATATAATAATCACATAATCACAGGATCGAGCGTATAGCTCCACAAATTCGCTTTCCATGAGGATCGAGGGTTGATGTGTCGTATGACATATGAAGTTATGAACTACAGGATTTATTGAGCAGAAAGCATTCAGTGAAGGTTAGGATAGGATCATACCTTCGTGGGGAAACCTCGATAAAACTGCATGGCTTGTGTTGGAATTGGAGCAAGCACCCTCACAGTTTGAAGACCTTCAGAACGCCTACATATCGAGCATCATTTATAAAAATTATTAACTTAATCAATGATATCAATAAATACAACCCAACATTGATTTCAGAAAAAAGGTTCGTCCCATGTCCCATAAAAATGTGCTTCTACATGGGGACGTCCAGCAAAGAATGTCTAGTTCAACAAATTCAGCCATATTTGTTGTTTTAATACAAAACTTAAAATATGTACACCTCTACTACTC